GTATTTAATCTCCAGTTTATACTTTTTGGGATTTCTTTCTTATTATCTAAATTTAAAGTAACTGGTGCATGATCGCTGACAGCAATAGGGTGTATCTTAGTGTCTGAAATGTTGGTCAGCAATGAGTTGCTGATTATAAAATAATCCAGACGAGAGTAAGAGTGATGCACATGTGAAAAGAAAGAATACTCTTTACTATTAGGGTGAAGAGACCGCCATGCATCGCAGAGTCCATAATCACTCATGTACTGTTTAACTACATTTATGGATTGCCAACTGCGTTGAGCTCCTACTGCATTCAGCCTGTCTATTTTGTTATCTAGACCAAAGTTAAGATCACCTCCCAGTACCAGCGAGCAATCCATGTGATTTGATAGAGTAGAAAAAAGATCATGAAAAAAAGCGGCATCGTCCACATTTGGCCCATATAAGCTAACAATACAATATTTTTGACTGAGTATGGATAATTTTAATATTATATATCTACCTTGCGGGTCTATAACTGTGTCTAATATTGTGAAGTTCACATTTTTATGTATTAATATTGCTACTCCTCTCTGTCTTGAGTTATAGCAGGCTGAGAATACATGAGGAAACTCAGGAGATTTTAGCTCATCCACAGTTGACGGTAATTTATGAATCTCTTGGAGTAATACAACATCTGCCTTTAATCTTTTAATCTGGCTGAAGATTCTATTTTTTTTATGTTGGCTACCGGCTCCATTAATATTCCATGTGACAAACCTTAAGATACCCATATTTGTGCTTGTGAAAATATAATTAAACCACACCCATTATCACAAATATCAAAAATAGTAAAACACCCAGACAATAACATAATCCTTAATGATTGATTATTTATGATTTATAGATAAACTAAGTGCTGTTTTTGAAGGTAAATCATGGATGTATTCCTTTATGAGGTATTTGTATGTATGTATATGGATATATATAAGCCTTTGTGCCTGTGTGCTAGTAATTTTTGAGTCAGAAAAATAGAGACAAAAAAAAGAAAGTGAGATGATAATAAACACAATAAACACATAAAGATAAAAGAAGAAAAAATAAAAAAAGAACCCCCTTACCACATTAAGTGTCATGCCACCGTGTACCACCACCACCATCTGTGTAACCCACCAACCGAGCTGTGCTGAAAAATTACATAAATATCTGGTAAGTAATATGAATATATATGCTTGCTAATACATTTTAAGTAAAATTAGCAACTGAAAATCATACTTACCTTATTTATATTATTAATAGAGCCAGGGAGTAACCTCTGGATCTCTAAACAGCTGACCATTGATATAAAGTTTGTCCACAGCTACAGCAGCTCTTCTGCCCTCGTTTATATTTTTCTTTCTAATCGGGAACAGGACGCGCCTTCTATTCAGAATCTCTGCAGGGAATTGATCGTTCATGCTGAAGTTCGTGTCACGCAGTTCTCTACCTCGGCTTTTTACTTGTTCTTTCTGTTTATAGTGCTCAAACTTAGCTACAATCGGCCGCGGCCGATTGTTTCCAGGCTTCTTACCTCCGAGGCGGTGGACCCGGTGAAAAGTGATGGAATTAACCGCGTCACTCGGCAACTTCAGCTGGTTCTGAATGAAGTCACGGACGGAGGCCTCAGGGTCTTCGTCCGCTCGCTCCGGTATTCCCGAGAAGACGAGGTTGTCCCGCATGCTCCGGGCTTGGATATCCAGGATCGATTCTTTTATTTTTTTATTATCCCCGGATAGCAGCGTCATCTCCTCGGTGAGTTGTTTTACCGTTCCTCTCAGCTCCTGATTTTCACTAGCAAGTGATGCTACCTGCTGTTGACTGAATTCCAAAGACTCCCTGAGGCCTTGAAACTCTTTATGCAGCATCTCTACTAATGCTAGTCGGGCGTCCAAGCTAGTTAGCTTCTGGTCAATTGACTCCAATATCTCCTTTAAACCTGAATCATCAGGAGACGGTGCCGTAACGCTGTCTGAGCTGCCCTGTCGATGTCGCTTAGCATTGGGGATGTTAGCTGAATTGCTAGCAGCACCGGATGTATCTTTAGGCTTACCCATGACTAAGCTGTCAAAACACTCGTCAACAAACAATTCCAGGCTCTCCAAAGTCTCCTCGTCCAGTTTGTTTGATCGAATGAAAAAAGTTTATTAGTAATATTTAGGACTTTCTTAATGATCTTATATTTAATTAAACAGTTTTTATTTAAATAAATACGGACTTACCAAAGTTTTATCATAATACTCACGCACAGTTTCTTCCTAGTTCTCAGCAACAGCTCATTGCACCGCCCTTGGCATCAGTATTCAGTACAAACACCTCTATTATCATTACTATTTTACAAATGTTTGATAATCAAATTGTGTTAGTTCAAACAATGTTTGAATGTTGAAGTGAACTACTCATTTTTATTAACTGTGAAACAGTAATAATGATTCTTAATCCTCATTCAAAGTGAAATCAAGTTGGAATACGTTACAGAGTAATGATTCAATTTCTTGATCGTCTGTTTGAAGTGAGCAAGTGATGGAAGTTGGTCAAAGTTCAAGTTTCGGTCAACTGCAAGTTACTGAAAAAAGAAATGTCATGTTTAACTTTTACAGCAAGATACTGGAGAAGTGACTCCACGAAGTCTGATTTCTTCATAACAATCTTCTGTCTGTTTTTAAAACAATCTTAATCTTTTTCCTTGAATTTTCATAACACCTTACATCACAAAACACACCTCTGTTTTGGTCCATCGACCAATCAGAAACTCCCAAATGAAAAGGAAATAGAGCCCTTTAAATGTTGGCACTTCCTAGTTCAACCCAGTTAGAGTCGAGATGGAGCAGTAAGCAGTAAGTTTGAGAAGAGTCAGCTGATGATGGAGAGTTCTGCAAGAGGTTCCACCTCCAGTTGGAGTCGGGTGGAGAGTTTGCAGCTCCAGCAGTTCCAGAGTTCATGAAGGCTGGAATTCAGGATGCTGATGAAAGAAAATCAAGCTGAACCAGAGAAGATCTGGGAATTATGAAAGTCTGTTGTGGATGATCTCACGACTCCCGAGGTCTAGCTGTTCTTACAGAGACGCTGAAAAGTGGCTCGAAGTGGAACTTTACGCCGGAACTGACATATCTTCAGAAAGGTAAAAGTCGATCTTCAACCAAAGTGTACCGTTGGGACAAACTGGTCCAAAAGAGCGTGCTGTTCTGGTTAAAACAGACAAATTCCCTCACACATCTCTCTGTAGATAAACTTCATCTTTCCATCTTTAAAATTCTTCTATCTGCTAAAAATCATTACAGATATTTTTAGAAATGAAATGTCTGAAGCAAAGTTTTTCAATCACCGCCGTGTGGTTGACTTCTGCTGTACTACTGGAAGTGAGAACAATCGCCGCATTGTTTACTTCCTGTAAACTGATTAATAAGCTGTCGTTATTTTCAATTTTTGCCAATTAATGTAAATGTGTGATGTGTTAAACTTGATTCTGTTAATAAATGACCCACTGTTTTTGGTGAGTCAAAGAAAATTAACGTCTCACGTCCACATTTTATTAAATTCAGATGCACGTCATTATACAGTCCAGAAAAATGAAAGAATCCGTTTTAACAGTATGAATATATCTCATGCATATGTTCATCTACATGGAGCAAACCATCACATAAGGCAGGCAGCCTGACCAGGGCCAAATTTGCTGCTGACGACTTCCCTGTTTGTTGCTAAACCAGGAACCAATCAATTCCAAAAAGCAGGAAACATGCTATCCTATATCCAATTATATATGTGTCTTCAACATTCTCCATGGACAGCAGAGGTAGACACATCACTTTCCAGTCACTCCAGGATTTAATGACAAAGGGTGGCTGTGGCTGAGTGGTTAGGGCAGTCGTCGTCCAATGCAAGAGTTGGGGGTTCGAATCCACCAGCAGTCACATGCCGACGTGTCCTTGGGCAAGATAACAAACCCCTCAATGCCTCCGATGTGTGTTCCATCGGTGTATGAATGTTATAAAGTTCTGATTAGTCTCTTTAGAATGATTTGTTCAATTAGCTTTGTAGAGATCTAGTAGAGTGCAGTCTCTGGATGAGCTCATTTGTATTTCTGGATTCAAATCAATGAAATAACAGTTCCTGTCCCATGAAGGTCCTCAGAGGCAGGTTTTGGTCAGAGGCCGAGTTCACTACACAATAATGACAACACCGTGGTCTAATGCTGAAGTACAGGCATTTTTTGTGCTTGGTGGCTGATGACAAAATTCAGAGCAATCTAGATGGAGCTCCGCCAATCCCCGACTCTCCCCAGTCTTCTCCACTGGAGCCTTGGAGCCTCCTTAGGCCATGCAAGGTGTCATCTCCCCGGCTCCAAGCTCTACCGGTCACCGCGGAAGATCCTCCGTGCTACCGACCCGGGGCTCAGTGCTCCAGGCCCCAGCCTTGCATTCACTGCAGGATCCGGGCTGTTCACCGTGGCATATCATACGAGGTGTCAACCTGCAGGAAGCACGTGAGGCTGGGGTCCGGACCCTGGCCTCGTGTGTTCATGAAGGCCAAACCCCGACCCCTGGCAGATGGGTGGACAGGGATGGGTCTGGGATGAAGGCTGGAAATGATTTTTAAAAACATTTTATGTATTAAATAATATATATTTTTTACACTAATTGTAACATAACCAGATATTTTGTACTGCAACAAGGTACAAGACAGGGGTGCCAGCACTCACCTCTTCTATTTGCATTAGTGAAAGAACAACTAGCTGTAGCTTTATGGCAAAACTCCATCATTAAGGGGATAAATCAATTAGGTACAGAGCACAAAGTTTCTTTATATGCAGATGACATGCTTTTGTATGTCATTCGGCTGTGGCTGAGTGGGTAGAGCAGTCGTCCTCCCATGCGAGAGTTGG